AACCAACTGAACCACCTGGTGAGGGCCAAAAAAAATTTTTTAATATAGATGAGTATATAAGCATCTGCACTTCAAATTTGGTTTATCTTTTCTTAGCCTTTAAGTTTTAATCTATTCTCTTGAGCACATTCACTGAAAATTTTATTATTTCCCTTCACAAAGATTTCCTGCTCTTCTCATTACCTTGTGAACATTTCAATGCAAAGGGTAAAGTTTATAAGAAACTGTAACCTAATTATCACCTACCTATAAATCTCATTTTGCAAATCATAAACTATCAATTACAGATGAAAACACAGATTTAAAGAGGTTAAGTGACTTGCCCAAGGTCACTTAGTGAGTAGTAGAAAGCTGGAACCTGAAACTTTCTAAGTCCAGTGTTTTTGCCAATATATTATTTTGCCTTCTAATAGAAAGAGAGGTTTCAATCAATCCAATTTGACTTTTTAAGCTGTACATTTTGCTGTCTCTTCAATCAAGAGAAACAAATGTAGGTTAAACAGTTGATTACTAGAAGTTTATAGGAGGCAATGTTGAGATACGGGAATAGGACCTGAATAAAACAAGTAATTAATATAGGGGTTCTATTTACTTTTTAAAAAAATTTGTCATAACGTTATTAGGAAGACAGAGATAAATCAAGGTCAGAAGGCACTTGAGCAGGGTTCATAAAAACTGACACTCAAAACCTCTTGAAATGTCTTAAAAGATTAACCTTTCTACTTAATTCGTTTTAAATTTTATTTCATCACTCTGAAAATCTGTAAACCAGGCACACACATTTGATAAACCTCCACTCATCAGTGAACCTTCCCCTTATACCCCAAGATCCTTGACTATGAGGTTCATGTCCCATTTATCTTTATAAACCCTAGCACAGCACAGCACCAGGCCCAGTTACTGCTCAATCAAGGTTTACCACTCGGCAATGCTTTAGGACACTTTTGATTTCCAGGGCAATGCAGTAAATGGGTAACAAAAAAATTACGGCAAAAATTTATTTTAACAATCCAATCAAAACCACCTAATTTAAAATACATAATCAAGAGATATTTCTGAGGCTAAGAGAAGGTGAAAGAACACTAAATGATACCTTTTAAGATATTGGATGAAGTGAGGGAGGAACACTAAGAGTTAAAGACTATTTCTCCCCACAGAAATATTGTGGAGGAAAAAAGATTTAATTAAGTAATCTTTATCCAAGTTTGAATGTTGTAACATTCATATTGTGGAAGTAAAAGGTCTCATTTTTGGTCAAGAGTCAGGGAAAAAAATAAACCATCATGGTATACAGCTACTACTCTACCTATAATTATCTTGAGATTTCTATACGCAAAACTGTTGAAAGAGAGAGAGGGAAAGGTTTCAAGGAGATAGGTATATTTAACTCTTAAATGGGTAGGTGAAAATAAAAGGGAATTTAAAAATATAAATTATTAATGTATGTATGGTAATAGGAAAAAAATGGAAAAAAAATCCAATTTTGCAGGATTTACATGAAAACACACCACTGCGCACTTATGCCTCTATCATGCCACCACCACTCAAAACAATAGCTTTCAATAAATATTCACTATGTACCAGGCTTTGTGCTAAGTCAGCGATTTTCAACCCCTGTGCAGCAAGAATTTTTAAAACTTGCAGTACCTGACTATTTAGTCAGGGGCACTGACCTCTTTTCCCACAATAGCTGTCCAGTGTGAATGAATCGAAAGTATACCTATTTTTTTTTTTTTTTTTTTGGTCACATTGGCAAAAAATATATTTTTGGTGTGCCACGTAATTTTAGCAATTAGTTTGTGTGTGCCATGAGATGAAAAACGTTGAAAATTATGCTTAGTGCTTCACATGCTGTATTTAATTCTCACAAAATAATCTCATAGGGATTAACATTATGTCCTACAGATGAGGCATAGGCTAAGAAATTTGTGCAAGGAATCTATATCCAAATAAAGCTAATAATAACTCTTAATTTTGAAACAGGTGTGTTTTAAATGTATACTGAGTCTGGTATACCCAAAACATGCCCCACTCTTTTAGGAAAGTGGGAGACTTAAAACTCTGATTCTGTCCCCTCTTCAATTTCCCCTGCCTTTACTAATTTTCACTTGAAAGTCAAAAGACACAAAGGATGTTTTCAGTCACGAACTCAATGGCTAATGTGATTAATTTCTAGGACTTACAAATATTTGTTTCAGCATTTTCAACAAAGGAAGGTTATTTTAATAAACTTTTAAATATTTATGCTCCTGGTTCCCCTATTATCTCCAGGAAATTAAGGAACTCCTTTCAGTTTAGTCTAATTTCTAAGAATGAAGTTCCTATATTAAAACGTTTGCAAAACCAAACCAAAAAACTGTTACTTGGCAAAAACTAAACAAAAAATGAACACCCGTTTAAACGTGCTACATGAAACACTACACTCAGCAAAATTGGCAAAGCCACGTTTTTACCTACTAGTAAGCACCCGGTTTCTAAAACAAGTGAAAAGTAATGCGAAAATTTAGTAGTGGGAAAAACAGCTACAAATGGCTCTTAAGCTAATTAAAGGGAAGGCGGCGAGCGGCGCGGCACCCTCCGAAGGCTGAGGTCCCGCCGCCGGTTTTCTAACGGGGATGTGATGTAATCCTGGAGAGCCGCCCAGGGGAAGGGGTAGGCTGACAAAGGGAGCGCCGGCGCCAGGGTGCGGGCGAGCCCGCGACGGCGGGCCGGGCGGGTCACTAGGGAGCAGAAGAGGCCCAGGCCACAAAGGGCGGCTTCACGGAGCGGGGAAGCGGCCCGACAGACGCGGGAGCCGAGGAGAGGAGACAGCACCGGGGGACGCGGCGTGACATCTGTCGTGCGGGCCGGCAGGGGGCAGCGCAGGCAGGATGTCACGTGGAGCGGGCGCTACGGGAGCCGAGAGGGCTGCGTGCGGACAGGGGGGTCTTTCCCACCGCCTGAAAGACTGCGTTACTCACAGGAGTCGCGGACTCTTCTTGCCCTGAGCCGGAGACGGGGGCTTCGCGGCCTGGGACTGCAGCCTTGTGGCGTCCGGGGGCCTGGCGCTGGGGCTGCTCCTCCGCCGGCGGGGATACTCGGCCTTCCTCCGACGGGACACGGCGGCGGCGGCGGCGGCCGCAGC